GAGTTTTGAGCAGTGTAGAGTAGTACTTGTTGTTTGTCATTTCTCCGATCACACATGCAGACATGGTTTTATGTTTACGTGGTGCGATGCAACGCAACGCGTAAAAAGACAGTATAAGTCATTATAATCCGTAATTATGTCCCCACTGGATGCAACAAATGCCTCGTTTATAATGGGTTTTAATGTTTTTGTCTCGTCGCTCCGGCCGGACAGGGCATCATCACAATTTGGTAAGGGCCATAACATTTCTGTCTCACGCTTGAGGTATTCGGCCAATCATAACGCACTGGATAGCTGGCCAATCATAGCACACCTCGCTTTTCAGACCGATGAACTTTGTAAAAATCGTCACGTTTCAGAAAGGCGGGGCATAAAGGAGAAACAATAATGTACAGTATGTGGAAAATAATGTGTTTTTTTAACCTTAAAACGCATAAACACATTTCATTACACCAAATACACAAAATAATGTTCTTTTTAGCAACATCATATGACCCCTTTAATGAACATCTTCAACAAGGTCAAACTTGGTTTGTAATGATTTACGTTATGGTCTCTGCACATTTATAATAGGCAGAAAAGAGAAAGCATGAAACCATATACCTGTTTTTGCAGCATAATTGAACTCAACATGTAAGACTAACAATTCATTTATTAATGACGTTTTCTCCAAATCTGTGAAACTTTAAATAGCTATTTTCCAAAAAGATCATTAGCAAACCAAACAAAATTAAAGAGGAGACAAGGAAAATTTACTAAAAAAGTGACTTTAAGGCTCGAGAGAAATAGACCTCCCTTTAAGCAAAATGACTCTTGGCCTTGTTGCCCTTGTCAAGACATTAACTAGTGCATTTCTGCATTTACGAGAGGCTGGTACAGAATACAATAAGTTTGGATTCGAAGTCAATTACTAAATTATTTACCTGATCTTTATATAAAGAACATTTAATCTAAAACTTAATCTGAAAACTGGATAAAAATGTTAACTGCTCCCAGTCCAAACCAAAATCTCTGGAGCTCAGGATGAGTAATGATTATAAATGCCTTACATGAAGGTTTTTTTTTTTTAAGTAGGACAAGACTTTAAAAGCAATACACACAACCTCTAGCTCTAAATTCCTGTAAAACTAACATCTTCCAAGCAGCACTTTGAAGTAAGCTCCATTTGATGACCTCTGTGGGAAACAGTGTACAAGCCGTTCTCCTCAAGCCACTTAACATCCATTAACGCAGCAAAGTTTGTCAAACTGGTTAGAGGTTGCCTTTCCCCTCATATGAGCAGCTAAAGACTATCAATGTCCATTATTTGAGAGATCACAAAACTAGTTTCAAATCACAAGAGCAACAGCAAAATGGGACTATTATCCAAACAAGCTGACAAAGACCATTTCAGGGGCTCAGAGGTCACAAACCAAACAGTCCTCAGAGATACACATGACAGCTGTTTAAACCAAACAGCACATCTTCTCATGACTAATTACAGCTGTGTTTTGCAGTCAAGTGGCACAAGTTAGTTTCTGGCCTTGTATAACTACAGTATACTTGATCTCCAGATGTGGTTTGAGAAAACAGCTGATTTTAAATCTCAGCTGATTTAAATGAATACATGCCAAGTAAACCAAAACTGCTGGGTTTGATGAGTGAATGGGTTATGTTCAGTGTTCACAATATTAGGCTACTCAAAGTTCAAAATATTCCAAATATCTAAAAATATCTTTATCTCAATTTCCTGTCAGGGGAAATCGTGTACAAATCCTGAAACCTTAACAGCAGCGTATATCTTCCAACCAACTTCAGATGCTACTTCCAAATTCCTTGAGTAGCCTAAATGTGATTTTCATGAAAGTAAACTGAAAATCTTTGGTTTTAAGTCTTTCGAGGGAAGTGAAACAACTTTAAGCTGTTAACTGCTGCATGAGACACCATTCATTACCGGAGTTTATTTGAAAAGTAGGCTAATGTCCGTCAGTCTTTCAGTAAAGCCGGTAAACGCGCCCTACGGCTATGACTTAAAGCGTCTTGAAAGCGTCATTTGAAGTTCATATGAAATACTTTGGGTGAATATCGCGCAGTTAATAAAACTATTCAAATCTTTGACATGTTCGATACGTGGAAACGTTACAGGTTTCCCGTTGAATTTTGCTTTAAGACTTCCGCATCAAGAATGCTATTTCTTCCATTAAAATAAATGTATAAATCTCCAAACAGTGTTCTAAATCTTTGACATTTAAAAAGCTGACATCATAAAGCTTTAGATTGTTTTGGGAATTTTAAAGGATCGTCTTAAGAACGGTGATGTGTTGGGGAAGGAACAAAAACGAATAGGTTACTATGTGACACACAATTAGAAATGTGTTGGAGATACAGCTCATCACTGTCACTGTCAGATTCGGTTGGATCTTACCTGTTCTCGGTGTTTCAGGTATTGATTTTACAGGTCCGATTTCCTTCAATTGGAAAACTTTACGCACTTCATCGCAGTTCATTAAAGTCCCCCGACATGGACCGATGAAAACCGCTAAAAATGCGTAAAACAAAACTCCACGCATCCCCATCTCCAGAAGCTGAACAGAAACAGTCCGTTCGAGGAAAAAAAACTAGAAACGCGGGCGTTGTTTAGGTGTCAGAAAACTTGCTTAATGAAAACAGCGCTGATTTTAGGTGAAGAAAAAAATATGCGAGATATTGTGCATGTCACGCGCCTGGGAAGACTTTCGCGCAGGACCTTTAAAAAAAAAAGCGCAGTGAGTGTGTTGGTGAAAGACGGAGCTGTCAAGAGAGAATGGGCGGAATCATTAGTGTAGTCAGACTGCAAAAGAGCCGCTGCCTTCAACACACCATCTACACTACTAACGAAGCAGGCAACTAGTATGCTACAATTTCGAGAGCTTGTATCTAGTTTGCAACATTTTTCGAATAATGGGCGCGTTTTGAATCATGATAAATTTGGATCATCATTTGGATCATAAAACTCTGGGAGTCTTAAAAGTTTATATACGTTTGAAACAAGTCAGATACATTCTTTTACAGTGCGATAAACGTATACGCGCGCAAACAGAAATCGCGTTTGCTTGTAACGATAGCAACAGCTGCTCGAGTCCAGTTAGGATGATACATCAACATAGATCTAGTCATTGTTTAATTATGCGTTTTACGAATTCAACACTGTTACTGCGCTAGAGACGCCCACAATACTTTATTTTTTATTAGGCCTAGTTGAAGCCCAAACCCGTCTATTGTCTATATTGGCTTTATATGTAAAAATGTTTAGACCTTACACACGGGTAATGCTAGTGAATTTTGAGGCCTGTTACTGACAAGCCTAATCAAATTGCTTGCTAATAGACTAGTATAAACCACACTAGAAGTAGGAAGGGGAAAAAAACTCTTTACCCAGAGAAGTGCCAGCATGTCTCTCAAAAGGGTTGCAATAGAGCCATCTATTGGACAAATACTGAAACTACAGGTATCTCAACACTCGAGTTGAATTAACTCTAGCTTGATTTTGACATCTAGTTAGTATAATAATTTAAACAAAAATAAATAAACGGCTACTCGCGTGTCCATACTTCCTAAATGGATATAACCATAAGAATTTAGCCAGGAGAGGTAATCAACCATACCCTCACTGTTCAAGAACCAGACCTATTATCAATAACCTCACAGTTTGTTCCATTTTGATTATTATCTGTACTATTGCAGAGAGCATTATAAAGCATAGACAACACTTATGGGAAACTGATCAGACAGATTTGAAGGCTTTGATTACTCCTTGATCTGCTGCACTTCCTTATGGATAAACCTCAAATGCATTTTAAACTCAAACATTGATCGAACTTGTTCCATTTAAAATGAAAGATATTAATCTTTACAGTGGGCTACACAGAAACTCCCTACATTCCACTGCACAATAGCTGGACACCATGGTAAATGTTCCATTAGAAAGAACTTCGGTTGGAAATGCACAATAGAATAATTGTTACTGTGGATTTAGTGCTTTTTTTTCTCATCTCATAACACATGTACACAAAAGCTACCAATCTCAATTAAATATAAAATATTCTCTCTCTATATATAATATATTAAAATAATATATTATTTTAAGACCACCCCTCTGCATTAAGCATGTTCACTAAGAGGAATAATAGATAACTTACTCTGCATTTTAATAATTGGATTTAACAAGGCAAATGAACAGCTTGATAGACAGCGTTGAATTGATCTGCTCATGTTGGTCCAGTAAAACCATCTGGATCCATGGAATTGTTACAAAATAAAAGGTCACCTCTTTAAGAACATCAAAACTCTTGCACCCAAGAAAACAATATTCAAGTCAATATCAACCGCATCACAAAGCATTGTGGTTAACAATTACCAGTCCAAGCTACACCTGTAGGTCTCACAATCTGTAAAAGTGACAAATGTTAGTTAAATATGCAATAAAATGAAGAAACACAGTAAGACAATGTATAAATTAAATCTTTAATTGACAATCTTTTCATTTAAAAACACACCAATTGATGTATACTATTGATGCAACTATACAATTGCAATTATGAAAAAAGAATGGGGAACTTCCAAAAAAAAAAAAAAAACCTACTTGTGGGGTACAATCTCCACAATCCTCTACAGGCCGGGACAAGTGCAATACCTTCCAAATACACAGCATTGCTACCAATCCCAACCTGTGCAGAAAGGGACCAAACGGCTCCAAAAGCTGTTCTCGGATGTGCTGCCACTGTCAGTTTTGCATGGATTTGCACAGCGCTCTGTCTTAAGCTGAATGCAAACCAGCAAAACTGACTGGGGTCCAGCAAGGTTACACAGCGTACAGACACCTAGGAGTGTTCGCAAGAGTCTTCAGATCCCCGATGCATTTAGCTAGAAGTACTTCAAGTGCTCACACTGCAGTAGATGACAGAAATACTACCTGCACTATAAGCACTTTAGCACTGCTGAAACTCTAACACAATGGCAGGTTTTATTTAAAAGAGGGGGGAGGGGGGGTGGTAGCCACCTCTTTTCAGATTTCAAATCAAAATTTGGGTAACGTGGAGAAGCAGCAGGCCACCATCAGTTTTGCATAGATTTGCACAACTCCTGTTTTCTTGTAGTGCAACTATGCAAAACTAGCAGAGAACTGCACCAAAAAAAGAAAGGAAAAAACACTTAATTCACATATATATATATATGGGTGAAAGTCACAGTCCCTCGTGCCAGAAGGAGCACTTAGGGCAGTAGGTGCTAGTCTACTTCACTATCTGCACTAGATGCACCTTAGCACAAAGCCGTTAGGTATGGTGTCTTGAAGGATGTTTGGCAGAGGGAAAAGGCAATGGCCAAGTGTATTGCTAGAAGTGCCTCCACTGCAGTAGATATTCCATAATACTACCTGCACTGTAAGCACTTTGACAATACATTGACTCCAACCATGTCCACACCATCAACAAAGTCCAATGGACGAAAGCCTCCAAAGAACTTGCGGGCAACTAACGTTACTCCCATCTTTCTTGATGTTTCTGAGAGGGCAAAGGGGAGAAATATTTGAATTAGTTCATTGCCTATATATTAAAACAAATTTAAAAGCAAAATAGTAAATGGGATTGACTTTCTATAATACAAAAGCGAGGGCCTCATGGCAAAGCACATGTCACTCGGGCACTGCGGTACTATTCATATCCAAATTTGACGGTGTATCGCTCTTTAAAAAAAGCTAACGCCACCAAACCATCATTACCTACTTCGCTCTCTCCGTTTTGAAGGTGCATTTCACTACCAATCTCCAAGTTATGAGAACTAGAGTTGAGCAAGTGAATGAATTGCGCAGCCTGCGGACCGCGCCGTCGTCCTGTGTGGCGCGTGCGCAGTGAGACGCTCCCCGATCACCCCTCCCCCCACCTAAAACAATCTGCACTAACATGGCGCCGTTGAGTTCACTAACCGGATCATTCTTCGCTTAAAAACTACTATATTAGACAACAAGTAATACGTTCCATTTGTCAAACAGGTAGAAGCAACAAAACGGGTCTGGGAAATAAAGTGGCGCGTTGTTGCTTTCGCGTTCAGCCGATGTTGAGGACAGCAATAGCTGCTAATGCTAAGCTAACTGGCTAGGATTGTGGCTTAAACGAGCACTCAAAATACAAAAACAACTAAATGTATTAACGTCAAAAAATAAGGCGCTCATAGTATTTACACGAAGCGTTTCCTGAGTGGAACTAGGTTAGCCAGTTAACAGTTAAACTACAACGGCTATTGCTGGCTAGCTCCATCCATTCCCCATTAAAACAAGTCGACAAAAACCAACAAGCTCATTATGTGGCTAATTAACTTTAATAATTTTAACACCTCTCCACATGTATCCTTAAAAACCTAAAGCAGAAAGTGATAGCAAAAAGGGGGGATGTTTTTGTCCAGCGCGCCGTTGCTAAGCTAGCCTGTGCGCGCGCGGCCTACGCGTCCCCCCATGTGCTACTGCTTTGTTCTGGAGGCAGTTTAACTCGCACGCTCAACAGAACGAGAAAACATCACTCTACAAGTCTAAAAACAACTTAATTCGCATTCGACTACGCGAACGCGTATTTACGATGCGAATTTAAGCGTACTGCGCAGGCGTGCGGTGAAATAAAAGAGTTGGTAGTTGCATTGCAGCAAGCATGCTTTTCAAATCTCCCACATTCTCCCCAAGTATGGAGGTGGAGAGGACTACCATGCGCCACTTACTACATTGTTTGTATCACCATCGTTGTCGCTTGCAGTAGCGGAGTTGAAATCCTGCGCGGAAATCACCTCTTATGTGTTTACGCGGGAAAACGCGATTGAGTTTGTGAGACTAAGCCATAAAATGTTAACAGGTTCCTAGTCAATAACGCACAGTAAGACACTCACCAGTGAAATCCACCATCTTCACTCACTTGCCGTTTACTGCCACTGCTCTGGCCAAATCTGCGAAACTGGTGCGTAAACTTAAAAGTAGACCGCGATCGAAAGAAACGCACGCGGCGCGCATCCAAAGCTAAGTGAAACTTCTGCTAAAACGACTTACTTAATCATAGTAAAACTGCAAAAGTGGCGCGAACGCGACCTGCCTTGAACCATGTGGGTGAATGAAGGGCGGCTCCCGTTGAACGTAAATATCTACAACCCCCAACTCCTTCATTAGCATAAATAAACTACTTCCGATCTTTAGCCCTCCAACCAATCGAAAAGAAAGTATTGGCATAGGAAAAAAAAACAAAAACGAGCGAACAGGCACGAGCGCGTGGATGCTCTTATTAATCATGCAATAAATAATAATACAAATCCGAAAATCTAAGTTAAACCTGAAAAGCGGGAAAATGATGTGAGCTGTGGTTGCAGCCCAGCTGAAATGTTTTAATGTAAATACTACTACTACTACTACTAATAATAATAAAGTACAAATAAGTTTTTTGAGTAACATATACAGATTGTGTGTTATAAAAAATATATTATTTATTAGAAATCAAAAATAAGTGTACAATTGGTGTACAATTTTCACTCAGAAATTGCTAGTTTCACTCTTAATTACAATGAAACTATGAATTGACTTAAACGTGAACATTTTGAAGTAGAAAGACTGAAATAAAATTTTCTTGTAAAACATACTCCTATAATCCTCGTTTTATTTACAGATTTTTTCATGAAAATTTTTTTTTTTTACAGTGTAC